GAGTCCCGCATCGGGCTCCCTGCTCGGCGGGGAGTCTGCTTCTCCTCCCTCTGACCCTCCTCCCTCTCCAGCTCTCTGTCTCTCGTTCTTTCTCTCAAATAAATAAATAAAATCTTAAAAAAAAAAAGAATACACAGTAGGTTGGGGCTCCTGGTTGGCTCAGTTGATTAAGCATCTGCCTTCTGCTCAGGTCATGATCCCAGGGTCCTGGGATCGAGCCCCACATTGGGCTCCCTGCTCCTCAGGAAGCCTGCTTCTCCCTCCCCCACTCCCCCTGCTTGTGTTCCCTCTCTCTCTATGTCTCTCTCTGTCAAATAAATAAATAAAATCTTTAAAAAAAATACACAGAAGGTTATCAAGAAAATAAACTCTCATATTCATTCAACAATCACACTCCCTGTTGCCCTGTAGAGACATTCGAAGAGGGTTTTGATGGATGCGTAGAAGTTCACAGGAAAAAATTTATTCATTCAGTAAGTGTTCTCTGATATTTCTCAAAGAAAAATTGAAGTGGGTTTTGAAGGATGCATAGGTGTTCACCATGGGAAAATTTCACTCATTGATTCACTCATTCATTCAGTCAGTCAGTAAATGTCCCTGTTGCCCATTGAAGGTGTCATCTTGGAAGTTCTATGTAGTTCTCCAGATGGAGCAGGGGCATTTGATACCTCTCTGGTGGCTCCCCCTCCGGCAGCTCCCCATTTGCCTGGTCCAACCACCTCTGGTCCAGGAAACCTGTCTATTCCTGGGATCCCAGCCCAAGTCCTCAAGGAAGACTGATTGGCTGAGCTTGAGTTACCTGTCCTCCATGAACCAATCACAGTGGCTGAGGTGGATGAACGTCTCTAGGGGCCCCTGGGTGGTTCAGATAGTTAAGCATCTGCCTTCGGCTCAGGTCATGATCTCTAGGTCCTGGGATCGAGCCCCACGTAGGGCTCCTGGCTCAGCGGGCAGTCTGCTTCTCCCTCTCCCTCTGCCTCCTGCTTGTGTTCCCTCTCTCTCAAATGAATAAATAAAATCTTTAAAAAAAGAATGTCTCTAGGTCACATGTCCACCCCAGTTTGGACTCAAGGAGAACTTTTGGTCAGAACAAACCACAGATGAGCCATTGGTCACTCTAAGGTGTGAGCTTCCCATTGCTTGGGGTAGGCAAGCTACAGCCTGAAGTCCATTTATCAAAGGGTTGCCAGATAGAACATGCCCAATTAAATTAGAGTTTCGGATAAACAACACATAAGTTTTTAGCATATCCGTTTGCCAAAGATTGCATGGGACATACACTGGAAAAGTATTCATTGTTTATCTGAAATTAAACTTAACTGGGTGGCTGCACTAGTTTGCTAGGGTAGCCGCAACAAAGACACTGAGTAGCTTCAATAAGAAATGTATTTCCTGGGGCGCCTGGGTGGCTCAGTTGGTTAAGCGACTGCCTTCGGCTCAGGTCATGGTCCTGGAGTCCTGGGATCGAGTCCCGCATCGGGCTCCCTGCTCGGCGGGGAGTCTGCTTCTCCCTCTGACCCTCCTCCCTCTCCTGCTTTCTGTCTCTCATTCTCTCTCTCTCAAATAAATAAATAAAATCTTAAAAAAAAAAAAAAAAGAAATGTATTTCCTTACAGTTCTGGAGGCTAGGAGTCCGAGATCAAGATGCTGGCAGGTTTGGTTTCTTCTGGGGCTTTCTCCCTGGCTTGCAAATGGCGTCTTCCTATTATGTTCACATGATCTTCCCTCTGTGCGGGTCTGTGTCCTCATCTCTTCTTATAAAGACACCACATAATGGACTAGGATCCACCCAAATAACCTCATTTTACCTTACTTACCTCTTTGAAGGTCCTATCTCTGGGGCACCTGGGTGGCTCAGTTGGTTAAGCGTCTGCCTTCGGTTCAGGTCACCATCTCAGGGTCCTGGGATCGAGCCCCGCATCGGGCTCCCTGCTCAGCGGGAAGTCTGCTTCTCCTACTCCCTCTGCCCGCCACCCACCCCCCGACTCGTGCTCTCTCTCCCAAATAAATACATAAATGCTTCTCCCTCTCCCTCTGCCCCACCCCCTTGTGCTCTCTCTCAAATA